GCTGCCCAGGGGAGTGGTTGAGTCTCCATTCCTGGAGGTATTTAAAAGACGGGTAGACATGGTGCTTGAGGACATGGTTTAGTGGTGGACTTGGCAGTGATAGGTTAACGTTTGGACTCGATGATCTTAAGGGTCTTTTCCACCCTTAATGATTCTATGATTCTATGAAAACTAAAACCACCTTCCCCCAGCACCCCAGTTCTTCTCAGGCTCAACTTCACTCCTTTCTTCCCAACTCTTCTACCACCTCCTCCTCCTGCGAAGCAGCACAGGAGGGATGGAGAACGGGGTCAGTTCATAACACTTCATGTCTGCCACGCCTTCCTCCTCACACTGTTCCCCTGCTCCAGTGTGGGGTCCCTACCACAGGAGACAGTCCTTCACAAAGTGCTCCAACATGGGTCCTTTCCACAGGATACAGTCCATCAGGAACAAGCTGCTCCAGCATGGGTCCCTCACAGACCACAGTTACTGCCAGAAGCCTGCTCCCGTGTGGGCTCCTCTCCATGGGCTGCAGCTTCCTTCACAGCATATCCACCTGCCTGTGTCACCATGCTCTTCTCCACAGGCTGCAGGAGAACCTCTGCTCTGGTGCCTCAAGCACCTCCTCCTTCTTCACTGACCTTTGTGTTTGCAGGATTGTTTCTCACACCTTTTTTTTTTTTTTTCCTTCTTTCTTTCTTCCCTCCTTTCTCTCACAATTGCCATGCAGCATTTTTTTTACCCTTCCTTAAATACGTTATCACAGAGGTACCACCAGCATCACTGATTGGCTCAGTTTCAGTCAGCTGTGGGTCCACTGCAGAGCCAGCTAGAATCAGCTGTGTCCAGCATGGGGCCAGCCCCTGGTCTCTTGTCACAGAAGCCACCCCTGCAGCCCCCCTGCCAAAACCTTGCCATGTAAACCCAATACAACAGTATTACAGTATCCTGAAAGTGAACCTGCTGCTGCTTCCATAAATGCCATGTTTGAAACACTCAATTAAAACATAACATAACATATATCTTGGCCCATGCTTCAACAAGATGGAAGATTCAGCTTTAGGGTGCTTCATGCTAAATCAAAAATGCTTCAGTCACATGATAATTTGTACTGGTTTAGCACTTTGTAACTTTACTAATTTCAAATTTGTAAAAAAAAATTTTTTGAAGATAACTTTATCCTGGAAAACTTGCTGGATCAGGTATAACTCATCTGTACCACTTTTAAGTTATAATGATATCTAGTTGAGCCTTATCTGTAATTAAAAAAATACCACTCAGAAAGTCTGTATTAAGTGGTCTGGCTAATTTAGCAGAAATGTGATCATGGGCCTGTGGTCAAATCTGTACTGCTAGGCAATTAAGATTACACAGTTCTACTAGTAAAATCATGACCTCACATGATTTACTCTACATTTCTCTGCAACTAGCATTAGGTAATACTGTCAGAAAGGAGACAAATCTTTCCACAATTACTACAAGTTAAACTATGGTCTCTGAAACAGATTCATTGTCCTAGATACTTTTTGTAACAAAATCTCTCCCAATTAATTATGTTCTCTCTGGGTAAAGTCTGCACATGAATCATGGTTCAATTAACTGAGGAGCCTGTTTTATATGCTTGTATTATGGAATGGGAAAATTACATTAAAATGAACATCAGAAACATGTAATACAATAATGCTGTCCCAGTTCAAAGTAAAATGTGACCTATTCAGACAAGAAGAACTTGTAACACACTAAAAAAACCCAAAACAAAACCCCAACATTTCCCTTATTTTTAGTGCAGTAAACAAAAAATCAACTTACCAGATTTGTGATCGTGTTTCCCTGTCTTTTTGATTATGAACAACTTGTTCTGCTTCTCAGGTTTATAAGATTTGAATGGATGAGGATGAATCTCATGCTTTTTTTGCAAGTCATCAAGTTTTCTTTGTAGATTTTCATTTAAAGCATCTTTCAATTTCTTTTTTTTCTTTTTCTTCTTTTTTGCCAGCATTTTAGTAAGTTTTAGTTTCTTATTATTTTGCAATGAGTTCTCCAACACTGTTTCTTTAGCAATTTTGTGGCAAGTCATGTCTGGATTGTCATTGTGACTGTCATTGACATGCATTTGGCAGGTTTTCAGGGTATTCTCTTTTGACAGGCGGGGCTCAGTTTTTACTATGCAAGTTTCATCACAGTTCTCCCCATTTTCTACAACCCTAATTTCTCCTGTGCTAAGTAGTTCTCCAAAGCCAACAATCTCTCCTGAATTAATTGTTTTCACCAAGTTCTCTTTATAACAACCAGTTTTTTTGATGTCATAGACTGTTTGAGATTTTATTTCACAGTTAAGCTTTATTTTTTCTGAGGTGTCACTAAAGCTATCCAAGTGATTTTTTTTCCTGAACAGCAAACACCGTAATTAACATTTTTCCCTGGTTCTGTGTTGGCACAATGTAGCAGCTCTTCTCTGCCATCAGATGCAACTTTCTCAGTGCTTTTGTTTACAGGGTCACATTTTACTTTTTCCAATTTAATCTGTGGTACTTTTTTTACTTTGATGGCATGAGTTGGAAATTCTGGGGCCTGAAGAGGTTTTTGCCTGTAAATCCGAACATCTGCACCACAGAACTGTGGAAAATGAACATAAGCATTCTCCAAGTAGTCATAACCAAGGATTACTTCTCTGCATTCATGGATGGGCTGACCTAGCACAGCATCCTGGACATCTTTTTGTGTTTCGTAAACAAAGTCACAGAGACCTTTTAGCAGCCCCACTTTTTGGTAGAATGGAAGCTCATGAAATGTTTTTTCTTCCAAAGGATTAACTTCTCCAAGGACTTCAAAAAACTGGGGACATAGCCCAAGTTTTTCAGCACAGCCATTGGGGTTGTCAGTTTGCCCTACAACAGTATACCACTGCTGTACTTTCTGTCTAAGTGCTGCTTCCCAGGTTCCATAAGGAAGGATTGGTTTTCGATGCAAGGTAGATCTGCAATGAGGAGGACTTAACAAAGAAGTCATTATTTTAGATAAAAAAGCATTACATTGAGGCATCAGAAGACAACGCTCCAATTCATAGAACACTATTTCAGGTAAGTTTAAAATCTGTTGAGCTAAACAGAGGAAATGACCAATAGCTGGAATTTCCCACATTGTCTCCATTCTTGTAGGTGCTGCTTGAGCTAAAAGTGACTTTTCCCATTCTTCTATTTCTTTCTGACTAGCTGCTTCTGCTTCTTTTCTTTCTTGCTCTCTCAGCCTATTGAAATGAAAAAAGTTTGAAAATTCAGATAGATACTAGATATACTAAAAGAAATAGCAGAGGGAAATTAAAACTATGGTATGGCAAACATACATATTTCAAAGTAACAAAACAGCACATAAATTATTATATAATTTGTCTTTATTTTGTGTTATAGAGTGGGTCTAAAATCACTCCTATAAAATGAGAAGTTATAGTCCCTTATTTCTCATCACCACTAGTTCTAAAACAGAAGAAAAATTTAGCAAATAGCAACAGTTTGGGTGTTCGTTTTCGGGGGAGGGGAATACATTTCCCCTCTCTCTTTTTTGGCACTTTCAATATTTCTACTGTCCTGTATCAGCAGACTATATACTTGATCATCAGTCACCCAAATAAAATCTCTTAAATACCTAGCAAAGTCTTACTTTCAAATGATTGTACTATGGCTTGTGACATCAACCTTCTAACATCCTACTTTGGTACACAAATACACATGCCTAACTATAAGCATCTCACATATACATAAGTACTTCCTTTTCCCCACAGACATGTTACTAATCAATGTGTAGTGATGGTCAAAAAGGAAGCAAATATTAAGATGCATGAACAACGTGATAGAAAAAGAATAGGATAGGATAGGATAGGATAGGATAGGATAGGATAGGATAGGATAGGATAGGATAGGATAGGATAGGATAGGATAGGATAGGATAGGATAGGATAGGATAGGATAGGATAGGATAGGATAGGATAGGATAGGATAGGATAGGATAGGATAGGA